TTTTACTCGTATGTTCTAAATTCTTTACTCACACTTTCTATATTCAATATCAGTTTGTTCTAAATTTTTATTCACATGTTCATAATCTTAAATCAAGTATTCTAAATGTTACTCATATGTATAAAATTTCATAAAGCATATTTTATAAATTTTTAATCACTTGTTCTAATTCTTAAATCAGATGTTCTAACATATTACTCACACAAATGTTCTAAATTATTACTCATATGTTCAAAATTTTAATTTGAGTCACATGTTCTAAATTTTAACTCGTATGTTCTAAATTTTTACCCACATGTTCTAAATTTTAAATCAGTTCTCATATAAATATAAATTCTCACATATGGACCTATTCTCACCGGATCCCTCCCTTATATATATATATATATATATATATATATATATATATATATATATATATATATATATATATATATATATATATATATATATATATATATATATATATATATATATATATATTTACAGTTAAAGTTAGCACAATTAGAGTATACTTAAAAGGTGAAATAATATACCAATTTTAATATTTTATGGAGCGATGATGGAGTAATTTTCACAAATACGAAATACACAATTAGAGTATACTTAAAAGGTGAAATACTGGTAGAGATAGGTTCAATTGTCTTTTATTTTATGTTGAATTGATAAACATTTCTACTCTATTTTATGCTAAGCCTCGTTTATATTATTACCTCACCCATTTAATCCTACAGGGCTACAATCTTTACACATTTTTACTCACTCTTTCTAACTTTATCTACCTTCGGAGCTACTACCTCTATTAACTATTATTTGCAATAAAGGGGTATTATTTGTGAGATATAAAGTATTCCTTTGTTGCAAATAATAGTTAACGGATGTAGTAATTGGGATATGGTGGATCACATAACCTATCATTAATTATTATAATGTTTTTTTAAAAAATTAAGTTATACTCCTAATAATAATTATTATTATTACTATTATTATTAAATTCAGTTCAATTCAATTCCATATAAAATAAAAGGGTAATGCTATATGCAGCCCTATCTCTTAGGGCTGCATATAAGCATTTAATATAGCATTTTTTTTTTAGTACGGAGTATTAAGTTGATAATTTATCGACAATTCACGAAAAATTGGTGTAATAAATGTTAATTTATTGACTTTTCTTTTCATTTTTAGCTTCTTAGGCATGCATATATCTTTTTCCAAAAATAAAAAAACAAGGTCAAAATCATCAAAAAATTATCGTTAGCTAATATGACTTTTATGGACTATTTAATTACATTAAATATATTGGATAAAACTAATTACTCCATGAATTATATATATACAAGACAAGGATATACGAGTAAAATATTTGCTATTAATACATTGAAGATTATTTCCTAATTTTTAATCAAAGTCTTGATTTGCTACACCAAGTAATTGTCGAGTCATATCTTATTTGCAGATACATGCCACATAGCGTTTGAGACAACGCTTTATTGCCTCAAATTATTGAGCCCAAAGTGGCGTTGATAGGCTATTTCATTAATATTTTATTAATTTCTTCCTAGAAATATTTAATAAATACTTAGGCCACGTTCTTTTTACTTTTAGAATAATCCAGTATTAATAATGTTAATAAAAGTAACTTTATTTTGGTAAAAGTAATTCCAGTTCAGTACAAATAACTTTTAATTAGTAAAATCATAACTATAAAAAATATGGATAATAGAATAGGTTTTAGTAAAATAATTCAAGTTTAACAAAAATAATTTCAATTTAGTAAAAATAATTAGTTTAGAAAACAAAATTAAGGTTAAGAGAATGAGGCCTCAGTGCAAGTGGAGTCAATAATTAACGCAAAGTAATTAATATAGGAGAGAATCAACAGAAAAAATTGAATTGATTTCATGTCAAAATAAAAAGTGGTGCAAGTAATTATTGTAGACAAATGAGAAAAATGTAGTAGCAAATATTACAAATCCAATTTATTGAGTCCAAAGTAAATTATTTACATCTTCAGTAATATTAGAGCCACAAACTTTTAAAAAAATCGGGCGTACAATAATTATTGTACATCCATTATAAAGATAACCTAAGTGAATAAAAATTACCCCTAAAATGAATAAAAGTTACCCCAATATGCGTTAAAGTAACTCAATTCAAATAAAAATTATCTACTCTTTATTAGTAAAGAATCACATATTAAATGACTAAAAAGCAATTATTAGTGATTGAATGTAATTAAATTACCTTTATAAAACTTTTCTTGTTGTTGATTTATATAAAAATTGTATTATGTTTAAAGTTACCCAAAAAAAGACAAAAAATTACCCTAAAATTAGTTAAAAGTTACCCTTATACTGCTCGATGTACACTAATATTAGTGTAAATCGGATGTATATAAAAATTTTTGTATTAGAGCTAGCTAGGTAAAGGAATAATATAGCAGAATGATTAATTAATTAATACCGTTTACTAATTAATGTTGTAAGTGTAACTCATATCATAGTCAAACATATACTCCATATATATATTTTTTAAAAAGTATCTCTCTTTACAACAAAGTTTATCTGACTATAGTTTCATTCTTTATTTCACAGGTTCCAGGAAAAGTCAAAGAAGATTATTTTAATATAAGTGTCATCTAATTTATTCAAAAAAAATTATATATGGTGTTTTGTTAATTAACTAGCTAGTACCTTCGTTCCTTTATTTATTTATTTATTAATTATTTTTTTTAAAGTTCTTTACTCATTCACGTTTAGTTTAGACAATGCCCAAATTTACTTTTGATCATAATTTTTTAATTTTTATACATACTTGTATAAAATAACATTAATTATTCAGTTAGAATCATTTGAATTCGTCTTAATATATACTTTTGAGTTTTGGCAATTGGTAAAAGCAACACCCAATATATCTAGATCTGGAAATAATTAGATAAAATAACAATTTATCATGCTTTCAAAATTATGTGCTTTTATATTATATGTTTAGATTTTTTTTTATTGCTTTTATTCGTTTTTTATAGTTGTCTATATGGTGTTAATTATTTATTTCCATTGTCCTTCTATAGCAACATTATTTGTGATTATAATTTAAGGTTTTGGATTGTGCATTGTGTGTGCTTTTTAAAAAAGAATAATTAAATCCAACCCGATTGGAATTTTTAATAATACAAATTAAAGGGTAAACATTTTAAAGATAAATGTTTTTTTTTTTTTTTTTTTTTTTTTTTTTTTTTTTTTGACGGGAAAGATAAGTGTTGTATACAAAGCACTCCTACAAAAGAAGATTTTCTTTTAATTAAAAAACATACATCTTTCTCTTGTATTCTATTAGCTATCAATTTTTAAACAATTTAAATCATCTAAGAAAAAATGGGAGATAAAAAAAAGTGGTGAAATCTAACCTTTTGCATTTATGTGGGTGTTTAATTATAATAAACGAAAATGTAGACGATTAAATTAAAATACGAGTAGGGTGTTTTGAGTGAGGTAAAATACAATAAATCCAATAATTAACTGGTGCTCTAAAAACTTAGAATTTGAAACTATTTAAGGATTACAAATATATATTTGTGGATGTATGTAATGTCTTAAAAAAATCATACTTCCTCTGTTCTTTTTTACTTGACCTGTTTCTTTTATCACGCTTGCCAATGCAAAACTTTAACGAACAATAACTTAAATTCTCCATAAGTAAAAATTATAAAAATTATATAATATGATAGTACTTATTGAGACGAATCCAAAAACATTATACATGAATATATTTTTCCTTACATATTATTCACAAAAGACGGTCAAAGGAGGAGTAGTGAATAGTGTAAAAGTTAAAGCGGGTCAAATAATAAAGAACGGAGGAAGTACATTTTTTTATGTTTGACTTAATTTTATGTAGAAATTCTAAACCGTGAATTGGGATTTTTTTTTCGCTCTTTTCATACTTGATTATTTGGATGCGTGTAATATCAAGTCGGATTTTGTCTTGATTTTCAATAATTGGGAGATAAATTCTCAAGTTTGGTTTGGTGTTATGGGTTTGATCTACTTTGATTTTGTTCCTAAAATGATTTGGTCCTGTGTAAGACCCTGTTTGATTCACCTTAATTTTGCTGAACTGAAATTATTTTTACTGAACTGAACTTATTTTTACTGAACTGAATTTAATTTTACTGAAATGGAATTATTTTTACTGAACTTAAATTAATTTTACTGAACTGAAATTATTTTTACTGATTTTCTATTATAATTATTCTTTAAAAAAACTGAATTTTACTGAACTGAACTTATTTTTACTGAACTGAAATTATTTTTACTTAATATTATTTTTACTTAATTTTATTTTTGTAAGGTGAAGAGAACAGGGCCTAATTCGCTATAAAATTAGCAAATAATATTAGAGTAAGGAATAAACAGTCCAAACGCACAAAAATATGCTCTAATTTACATCTATCTTATCAGATTTGAATTTAATAAAAAAGAAGGTACCACATACTATCTTGCTTGATTTTGATTCTTTTTTTAATTACCATGTATATTTAATTTCTATATAATACAATATAATTATTCAGTCTCCACATTTCTCATCATATTTTTTACATTTATCTCCCAATTCATTTGCATCAACAAAAGTAAAAGAGATATAGTCTCGTGTGGCTGGTACTGACTTATCTTGAATATATTACACACGTGCCGTTTTCTCTTTGAAATTACTATTAATTGTGATCTAATTTCAAGTTTACTAAATCTTTATTTAATATTATTATCTAGATTTGTGGCGGCCGAGACTTCTTGAGTCAATCAACTCACGTGTTTTTTTTTTTGGTATGTAAGCTGAAATTACTATCGCCGTAGCATTGATTTTGGGGGCCCTGTTTCAAATCGAAAAAGGGGCCCTTAATAATGTTAAAATTATACTTTTTTTTAATCTATAATTTTGGCAATGCACAATTTTCCTATATATACATTGCAAAATAAAAATGCTTTCATATAACAATGATATATTCAACTACGCAAAATTAAATTCGGATATTTTATTCATGTTGATAATAGTAACTAAATACAACTCAAGGCTCATATCAACTTAAGCTATATTAGCTTCTATTTATTTGAAAAGTGATATTCTTCTAACGCTCTTTGAGGCAAAATCATCAATCAAGTCTTCATATTCCACTTTCTCTAGAAAATCATTCTCAATTGCTATCATCGCCAATCCATTAAGTCTTTCTTGTAGCATCGTAGAACGAATATATGACTTCAATAGCTTTAACTTTGAAAAACTCATTTCTGCAGTTGCAACTGTCACAGGAATAGTCAACAAAATTCTATATGCAATAGTAGCATTAGGAAAACAACCCACATCATTCAAAAATAACAAAATATCAAAAGGTCCTTTTCTGTCAATGTGCAAAATTTCTTTAAGCAACTTCAACTCCACAAATAATTCATTCCCATCAATATCTGATTTTTCATTAGACATAAGTGCATTTTCAAAATTCAAACAAGAGGATTTCAAACTTAAATCATCCAATGACTTCATCCTTTGAGAAGTGAATAAGAAACCAAAAATATTTTCATATTCCTCAAATTGCTCAAATCTTTTATAAAGAGAACTAATAGCTTGATGAACAATATAAAGAAAGTAATCAACTCTAAATGATTCTTCTGGAGATAGAGGAGCATTTGATGAAGTACTTGGATTCTCATCAAAATGTTTTTTTCTTTTAATTTCACGCTTTTGGGGAAATATAGGATCAATATCCATTTCAATAGCAATGTCCTTAGCCTTACTCAAAGCATCATAAAAACCAGTTTCTCTATACCCCTCGAAAAAAGAAATCAACCCTCTTATTTTTTTAATAGCCACATCAATAAGCATATCCTTTGATTGTAATAGCTTGCTTACTAAATTAATTGCAAATAATATTTCATACCAAATTACTATTGCAATTAAAAACTCAAAATCACCAAGCTCATTATTTGCTAAGGATTTAGCTTCACTCTTTATATTGTAATCCTTATCATTGCTATCGGCTACTTGAAGTAAAGCTTCTCGTATATCTGACATTTGAAATCTAATAGCCTTAACACTTTCAACACGACTTTCCCAACGAGTAGATGACAAAGACTTAACAGTTAGTCCTTTTACATTGTCTTTCAAGATTTGCCATCTCTTAGTAGAAGCTGTAAAAATTGTATATATACGTTGGATGACTCCAAAAAAGTCTCTAGCTTTACTACATGTGTTAGCCATATCACATAATGTCAAGTTTAAACTATGACAACCACAAGGAGTATAAAAAGCATTAGAATTTAAATCCAAAAATTTCTTTTGAACTCCTTGATGTTTTCCTTTCATATTAGATCCATTATCATAGCCTTGTCCTCGCACATCCATTATATCAAGATTAAGATTTTTCAATTCATTTTGTAAAACATCAAAAAGCCCTTGGCCAGTTGTACCATTTACATTCAAAAATCCTAAGAAAGATTCCTCAATGCAAACATTACAATTAGAGACATTCACATATCTTAATATCAATGTCATTTTCTCTTGATGGCTAACATCGGGAGTACAATCAAGAATTACCGAGAAATATTTTTCTTGCTTTATCTTTCTAATGATTTCATTTTTTATTGCAGAACCAAGCAAAAGTATTAATTTGTTTTGAATTGTATGACCTAAATAATGAAAGTGAATATCATTATTAGTAATACGGTTGACATGTTCTTGAATGATTGGGTCAAACTCGGCCAACATTTCAATCAAGCCCAAAAAATTACCATTACTTTTTTGGTATAGTTTCCCATTTGAACACGAAAGGCTAGATTATGTTTGGCAAGAAATTTGACAATTGAAATAATTCTTTGCATTACTTTCTTCCAATGGTCTTTTTGTTTTTCAATTAGCATTTGAGTCGTCTTATCAATAGTTTGATTCTTTTGAAACCTAAGACGCAACTCATACCAAGTAGTCATATTCTTAACATGATATATGCTTGTCTCATGCTCTTTAAGTCTAAAGCCTACATGCCCCCAATATGAAAATCCTTCATTTGTCAATTGTCCTCTTCCCATCCCTTTTTTAAATATTTTACAGCAAAAACAATAGACTCTATCAAGCTCTTTGGAATAAACAAGCCAATCCCTATCACATTTCTCACCGTTTGATAAAACTCTAGTATACAAGTTAGCCGTATATCGTCTTGAAGATTTATCATTAGGACCTTTCACAATAGAATTATCTCTTTTAGGACCATTTTCCACTAATAAATCAATCATTTTAGAATTAAGACCATCCCAAACTCTAGGATCATATATATTAGCCAAGATCATATATATTAGGCACATAACTAGTTTCATGGTGATCAACATTATCATTATCAGAAGGCATATCATCAATATTTTCAGCATTATTATCATTCTCAATAGGCACATCGTCAACATTGCAATTAACACTAGGCACATCATCAAAAATATTATCCACATCATCAACATTCTCTGCAATAGGCATATCACTAACAAGATCAACATTAACATTGTTAATATCATCAACATCAACATTATTATTCTCAATAGGGACATCATCAACGGGCTCAACAAGAGGAACTTTAGGTTCGTTTATAACGAATTTATCAAGAGAACCTTTTTGAGAATTAATTAACACTTCTAATTTTCTCTTTTTGTTACGCTTTTGAGACACAGATTCATACTTTCTAGGAGGCATAATCTTAAAATCTCAAAAAAAAAAAAAAAAAATTACAGTATCATATATATGGATTGAAAAAACCTGGAAGCAGAAGCTTTATTTCAATCAATTGGACGAATTGGCGAATTACTCGATAATGTTGATTCTCAATCTTTGTTCAAAAGAATACGACCAATTTGGACCTTCAAAAAATAAAATTGTTAGATACAAAACTAGTCTCCCATCTGCTGTATATCAATCAAATCTGCTATATATGTTTACGAATCTTAGAGCATCCATTCCTTTAATTTTGATGTCAGATGGTTGTATAATTTTAATTCATTAATTCATTCGTATATAGTTATTGATTGAATTTATTTTATGATTGATTAGCTGTGCATTGGTTCTGTTTTGAATGCCATTCATCTAAACAACCACAATATGTATTTGTAGGATGTTAGATTAATTGTACATTTGTACGATACAGCTAATTAGATTAATAGCGTGCAATAGTCTAGAATTTCCACTTTTCCAGATATTATTAGCCAAAATAAAAAATTAATGTCTCTGTTGCAACATGATTACACGAGCAGGGCCGAAAAATTAAAAAAAAATGAAATAAAAATTGCTTCAATTCATCAATTGAAATTATCAAACCCAGAATTAATTAAAAACAAAAATAAAAAATTTACCAGAAGACACAGACACGAAGCATTCAAACTTCAAAGCAGGGCCGAAAAAAAAAATGAAATAAAAATTGCTTCAATTGAAATTATCAAACCCAGAAATAATTAAAAACAAAGATAAAAAATTTACCTGAAATCGAATGCTCCAATTCGTTCCCCTCAAAAAGAAAAAAAATTTGCTTCAACCCTTCAATTCGTTTTTGATTTTGTATAAAGTATAATTGTATCAATTGGGAATAGATAGATGAAGATGATTGAATGGAAGATAACCCATATATATGAGAAAATAATTACCATTTGATAACAAGAAATTCGGAAGATTGCAATTGATTTCTTGACTGAGTTTATTTTTTTTTCCGTTGAAATTCTGGGAAAATATGCAATACAATTTTCCATGATTGATGTAATTAGGGAGGAATTTGGAAACATGGAGAAATTAATATGGAAGGTTGAATTGATTGAATGGGATTATGGGAATTGGGAAAGTTGAATGCTTGAATGCGTGAATGTTGCTTCTCCTTCCTCTTTGCTGTCTTCTGGCAATAAAAACAACATTTATTAAATTTTTTTTTTAAATAATAAGTGGAAAAAAAAATTGGGCCCTTTAAATTGGGGGCCCTGTGCTAAGGGGCACCTTGCACATGGCCTTCTACGGGCCTGGGTGTACAGAAGTACTCGCAAAGCTGGAAGACCTGCGAAAAGATCTCCGATAAAAAATGATAGAAATGTTAAGGACTTATTCCCTCAAGGATTGATACCAAGGCGAAAGAGGTCCAAAAGCAATGCAATGAAGAATATCAAATTGATAGCCACGTTCGTAGCAAAAGATGAGCAACCAAGTGAAGTTAAGATTGAGGAAGTTGAAATTATGGAATCAAAACCTCGTCCTTGGGTAATTAAATTTGTGATTCCGGGTCCGATTCCAGATATAGAGAGTATAATTTCATATCATACTCTCTTTGAAATTTTCGACGAATACGTGCCTTCTTCATCTTAATACTTTGTATTCAATACAGTAATAATTGTAATTTAAAACTTTCGTCATTTGTAGTACCACCGTTTTATAATGTTCTTAATATATTTCATTTTGGCATTATATATTCTTAATCTCTACTTTGATTACGTCCATTATTCTTTTGTACTCATTTGATGTCCTATTATATTCATCTTAATATGTATATTTAAAATATTAACTTGTTGTTCTCCATTTGTTCTAACTATAATAACTTACACAATTATAAAGCTTGAATTGACACACACAATCACTATCCTTATGTACTCCAATGGATGAGTTTGAACACTAATATAAATAATTAAATATAAATAAAAAATATTAAAAAGCTTTTATTATGAAACTTCGTATTAATTTCCGCCTATCCAAAAAAATACATGATAATAATTAATTGATTTTCATACAATACGAAAAAAAAACCTACAGTTAAAGTTTTCTTCCAAAAAAAAAATAAAAAAATAAACCTATAGTTAGTGAATACTGAAAAAAATCAACTTATACCAATTATTTTTTAAATACAAATTTACAATTAGAGATATACAACCATTCATATCTTTTATTACCAATAAGAAAAAATAATGAAAAGTTGATATTTTGAAAATATATATCGTGATGAATCTAACATGATCGCACATGACTATATTTTTCATTATATATAAAGCACAAAATACGATTAAAGGGAAGTGTGTGAATAGTTGTAGGGAATAATTTCAAGTGTTAACCCCTAGCTTGAACCCCACTGTGATCATACACTAAAGTACGGTGGCGTCCAAAAGGGAAGAAGATAGAGCAAAAGAGTCGCCAACAAGTTTTAGGAACTTGTAAACCGTTCACAGGGTGAAGGTTACACCCCTTAACGATCCAAGAGATCGTCAACTCCATAAAGTCTAGAACCAAATAAGGGTTCGGGGATGAAGGTACAAATCCAACCTAAAAGAGATTGAACCTGCCCTAATAATAGGCCTCTACTTTATTCTGATCGTATTCATGTGCGCTTTCTAATTAACATGCAATCAATAGGATTAACCCTAAACCTGTTTATCTATGTTGGTTGAATATTAATGCACAAATAAACTATTATTGGCGATTACTTGAAATTATAATCAAATTAACCCCTAAACAAGATTATTAATTATCTTATTAAGCGTGATTACAAGTACCAAATTTCCTTTAGACACGCATAAAAGGTGTGATCAAGCAATAACAATAAATAATATCAAGCAACATAATAATAATAATCATAATCATCATAAATAAAATAAACATCATCAAAATAATAATATTCATAATCATCATAAATTATAACAATTATAATCATAATCATGTTCATGTTAATATTAAAGCATAATAATAGCAAGATCCTAGGCATGATACTAACAAGATTAATAACAAACCCTAACATGTCACTAAGCAATAAAAATCAAATCTTTAACCCTAACATGATACTAACAATCATAAATATTAGGAAGAATATAAAAGGTATCGTAACAATCATATTTAATATTAAAGTTACCCTAGACATGATACTAGGAATATCATAATAACAATTTAAACATGATTTCTACATCAATAAAAAAATCATTAAAGTACTTACTCTGATGCCTCGTACCTCTTTCTAATAACAAAATACACACGTTAGTAACTTCAAGGAAAATAATAAACAAACAATTAAATTAAATAATTGAAAGAGAGATTTGGGACTAAACCCTCAGAAATTAAACCTTTCACGTCTAGGGCGAAGGCAACTTCGAATATGGCTAGGTGTATCTAGATCTTGTGAATGCGGAATTTTGTATGTGAAAAGCAATTTTAGAAGAGAGAGAGATGGAGAGAAAGAGATGAATGAAGGATTAAGGAAATCTTGATGAGAATTAGCGAATGATTAAAGAGAATGAAAGAGAATTGAAAACTGATTGTAGGTGAATGAAAATGGAGTTTTTACGTCGTTATTTATAGAGAAATCAGCCAAAAAGATAGATTTACAAAACAGAGCATTGGCGGAACTAAAACACAGCTGGCGCCAACCCTGGCTAACTGGCGCTAGGCGCCAGGCGCCAAGCCTGTTTTTGACGCGCTTTCTCAAATCAGATAAGTTTGCCGTACTGGAGGATAAAATCGTATCTTTTCCTCGAAAATGCTTTTTGATCTTAATTAAAACTCTGAAAAGTCAACAAAAGTCAATTTATCAATGCTAATTGAATTAGGAATGAAAAGAACCTTCTAGAAGAATCTAGAAGACTAAAACCATTCCTAATTGCATTAGAATGATAAATCATATTAGGCCCTCCCCTAGATCATTGGGCCGTATACAAGGCTCAAACCGGGCCTAGTTTAGTAAATTGGCCATAACTTCCTCAAAATTCACCGGAATTGGGCTTATAATATATCGTTGGAAAGCTCTTGTCAAGCCCTATCCAACTACACTATGGACCAATCAAACTGGATTGGCTGTTTTCTTAAAAATAAGTTTTCAAAAACAGAGAGAAGTGAAAAGAATTAAAACTATCCGCAACATTAAACTTTCCACACTTTCGCTTCATTCGATTATGATTCGACGCGAAAGGTACTCATCAACGGGTTTGG